CGGAGCGCCCGACATTTTTTAAAAAATTTTTTTAATGTTTATTTATTTTTTGAGAGAGACAGAGTGTGAGTAGGGGAGAACAGAGAGAGAGGGAGACACAGAATCTGAAGCAGGCTCCAGGCTCCGAGCTGTCAGCACAACCCAACACAAGGCTCGAATTCATGAACCGTGAGATCATGACCTGGGCCGAAGTCGGCCGCTCAACCGCTGAGCCACCCAGGCGCCCCTTGTTCATAAGCTTTAGGTTTTACAGTTTACGTTAGTTTATTGATATTTTCCTTTTTGACTGTTCTTTTTTTGTGCTCTTGTTTATGAAGGCTTCTCTATTCCAGATTATCAAGTGTAGGAGAACATTAGCTTTACAGGTGTAAAAAAGCAGGTGTCTGGGTGGTTGAATGGGTTTGGAAGTGATTTAAGGTTGGTGTGAGGTGTAGGGTCGGACACCCAAGTTGGATAGCCAGTGTCCAACTACGTGGCCATCGCTCCAGCCTGGAGATTTTCCCGGGTCTTCGCGTGCTGGGTAGTTGTGTGTGTCCTGGGCATCTTGAATGCTGTATTACGGGACCCGGGGGCTTGTTTAAATCTTCCGGGGATTGCAGCTGAGCAGCCGTGTTCGGGTGGCAAATTCCCGCCAGCCTTGTGTGAGGTGTCGGGATCTCTCCGGTTTTCAGAGCCCTCGCGGCGCCACCCGGTCTGTCCTACAGGGTGCCACCTGTTGGCCATCCTGGAGCTCAGCCCTCAGTCATCAGTCCGTGGTGGGCTCTTTGGGGTCAGCGCATGCTTGTACGGCCCAGTGGCTTCTGGACGGCCTTGGGGGTCTCGCTTCCCCAGGTGCTCTCCTGTCCCTGAGGCAGCTCCCGGCCCCAAGCCTGCGGCTTTATTGCCCTGCTTCACCATGCGCTTCCTGCCGGTTCAGCTGCCGGCGTTCACATTCAGGGCCAAGCGATGGGAGGACCCTGGAGGAAAGAAGGCAGTGAGGGTCCACCCTACCCTCTGGGAGAGGATGTCTCCCCTCCTTAGAGTTTGAGGCTCTTGCTGACCCCTGGAAACACAAAATCTGGGGACTGCCTTCACTTTGAACATGTGGGGTCCCCTCTCCTCCCTGAAGCACGAGAACTGCTTCTGGGGCGCCCTGTCTGTGCCCGTGCTGTGTCTGCACTTGGGGACGGCAGAGTTAAGTGATTGCAGATGCACCTCTGGTTTGCTTGCCGCTGCTCTGAATTCTGGTCATTTTCTCCCATCTGCCTAGTACTGTGCTTTCAGGGACTCTGGTAACAGCTCACGTGCCCTGTCCTGGCTTTCTGGCTTCATTTTGAGGCACAGAGTGTGGTGTGCTCGTTTGGTCTTCCCAGGAGCTGGAACTGGGGAAACGTTCTCGACTCCTGTGTTTTCATACCCAGATCTAGCATGCCGGCATACGTATTCTTTAAAGATATTATTTATAAGTAATCTCTAAACCCTGCACGGGGCTCGAACTCACAACCCCAAGATCAAGAGCCACACGCTCCACCAACTGGGCCAGCCAGGCGTCCCCATGCCAGCACGTTCGAGTGGCTCCCCCCTCACGGTTGCCACTCTGGTCCGAGCCCCGTCGTCTCTGGCCTTGGTTACTGTGCTCCTGTGTTCGGCGGTCTCCCCGCTTCTGAGTACCCACCCCTGTCACCGCACCCCGCTTCACCCGGTCTGAGCCGTCCTGTTAAAATAGGAGTTTGATGTTGCTGTTTGTCTGTCCTGGCTCAAAACCCATCTCCCTCAGAGCAAAAGCCCAAATCTCTGTAATTCGTCCCTGCCGGCAGCCTACCTCCTGCCCTTCCCGCTAACCAACTCCTGTTCCCCGTACCTCTGGGCCCCCCACCCTTCTCCTGGGCTGCCTCCGCCTCCCGCCTCTTGTGGCACACTTGCCTCAAGGCTGGCCTTTCCTGTGTCCTTGTTCAGGAGATCTTTCCCCTCCAGAGCTGCACGGCCCTTCTCTTTCTTTCCGCTGATCTTTGCTTTATTGTCGCCTTATCATCCTATTAATATTGCAGCCGCCCTTGCCCCATCTCCTCTCCTGGCTGCACAGGTATTTTTCTCTGTGGGCTCATCTCTGAATGACGTGTTCTATGTTTTACTTTATTTTTCTTCTCCCAACTAGACTGTAAACTCCATGAGGACTGTCTGCCAGCCGCTTTATCCCAAGTATTTAAAACAGCGCCTGGCACGGAGGCAGCCTTGAATATTAATTTGCTCAGTGGATTAATGAGTAAATATCAGGTAAACAGTAACCAAAAGAATGTTGATGTAACTATTAATAGCAGGCAAGAGTAGGCTTTGAGGCAAATAGCGTTTTATTAAAGTAAACCTCAAATTTCAAGAATTGGTATTGTGCAGTCTTCTTTCTGACGGCAGGGCGATTAAATTAGATGCGGATAATGCAAACATAATTGGTAGCATATTTTGCATATCACACAGCAGTTGCCTTTTTTTTTTTTAATTAACATCTTGGACATGTTTGCCTATTAGCGTGAAGATGGCCCTGGCCATCCTTAAAAAGATGCACACTGAGTAGGAGCGTGCCGTGGCTTGGCCCTCCCTCTGACATTTGTTTTCAGGTTTTAACCATTACAAACATCGTCCAAAGGTACCTTCTCTCCCTGGAGTTCTCCATACCCTTAGCTTTAAACTTGTACCTCCATATCACTGGTGAGTGTGTGTATCTGTTATGTCTCCTTCACTAGACGACACTTTCATGAGGGCAAGGAGCTTGTTTTGTTTACTGCTGTGCCTCTAGTGTCTAAGTTCCTCCGATGTGCTGGGTGTTCGGTAGATATTTGCTGACTAAATGAATGCTCCCATGTCCGTGCACGTGCTTCCTTGTCTGCATGTTGAAATACTGCTCTACGGAAGACACTGAGGGGAAAATTTTGGTTCAGATACTGGCTGGTTGCCTTTCAGGATAACAAAAGTCTTAACTCATTTACCACTCCCTGCAGTGATCTAAGGATATTCAGTCTTCTGCTAATATGAAGGGGGAAATACTGGCCTCTCACTCTTCTATTTTTTTAATTAAAAAAGTTTTCTGGAGAGAGAGTACGAGCAGGGGAAGGGCTGAGAGAATTCCAAGCAGGCTCCACTGTCAACATGGAGCCCGACGTGGGGCTTGAACTCATGAACCATGAGATCATGACCTGAGCCGACATCAAGAGTCAGATGCTCAGCCGACTGAGCCACCCAGGTGTCTAGTTTCTCCCTGCTTTACTTTGCACTTGGGTGGCCAGAAGATGGGGAGTTGAGCGTATTTGCATTTGAAAAAAAATTTTTTTTTAATGTTTATTTTTGGGGGAGAGAGAGAGAGAGAGAGAAGGGCAGAGAGAGAGGGAGACACAGAATCCATAGCAGGCTCCAAGCTGTCAGCACAGAACCTGATGCGGGGCTCAAACTCATGAACTGTGAGATCATGAAGGAAGACACTTAACCGACTGAGACACCCAGGTGCCCTTTATTTGCATTTGTTGAATGACCATTAGCGTGTTTTCTTCTCTGACTTAAGTAGAAGTAACTATTCAAGAATTCTTCTAGCACGTGGGATTTCTTGGCTTTTTGGAAATAGCATATTAACGTTTAATATTCTTTTTAGGCCACTTAGCCGAAAGAGCTCAGAAATGGAGTATATTGACAAATACAGACAGCTTGAAGCACAAGAATTTGATATGTGTGGCAGTGATCAGTCAACCAGTAGGCCAGGTAAATGGGTATTTTTAAATATTTAAAATCTGCTGCATGAGTTATTTACAGGTTAAAGTGTTACATTCTTTAAAGTTTTTAAGAAATGTGATATTTTGGTCAACAAAGAATCCGTATTGCTTGTTAATTCAAGATGTGTTTTTGAGTGGGTGAGTATACGTTGGGTTGTAAAATAGTCACTTTTCTCTCTCTTTTTTTTAAAAAGTTTATTTTGAGAGCACGCACGCATGCGAGCTGGGGAGGGGCAGAGAGAGAAGCCCAAGCAGGCTCTGTGTTGTCAGGGCAGAGCCCGTTGTGGGGCTTGAACTCATGAACGGTGACCTGAGCCAAAATCAAGAGTTGGACACTCAACTAACTGAGCCACACAAGTGCTCTGTTTTTTCTTTTATTTTTTAAATTCTATTTATTTTTTTATTTTATTAAAAAAAAATTTTTTTTTAACGTTTATTTATTTTTGAGACAGAGAGCATGAACGGGGGAGGGTCAGAGAGAGAGGGAGACACAGAATCCAAAACAGGCTCCAGGCTCTGAGCTGTCAGCACAGAGCCTGACATGGGGCTCGAACCCACGAACCGTGAGATCATAACCTGAGCTGAAGTCAGACGCTTAACTGACTGAGCCACCTAGGTGC